TCACTTTTCTTTATTGGTTTTTAAGAGTATTTAGACCTTGCTCCCATCTCTAGCCACGTTATCATTTTATTCAGACGCTGCAAGCAGTAATCTTTCAACGAACAGCGGGAGCCTCCACAATCCTCGCTGTTACCATTTTCTCCCAGTCAATAGTGCTGTGGGTGATGGGCAGCTGTCTCCGGAAAGCCTTCAGGTGGGAATCATTCATCTTTTGGTATTCTTCTGCCAGCCCAGCCTGGAGCTGGTTGTCTGCTTTCTCTACCAGCTTCACAAAGTCCTGGGCAGTCTGAGCTTCACTGGTGATGGGCAGAGTCCCACTTACTTCCTTGCACACTGTCAAATGGATATTGCCATCCTCAAAGTAGTGAGCATGGACATCGATGGTCCCAGTCACCTGGGCGGACGTGGAAGTGGGAGTCAGGCCGACAGTCCATTCGGATTTCCAAAGGCCATTCCAGAAAGCAGAGGGTCTGTTCAGGTGACCCTCAATGCAGGCCACAAGGATTTTCCGGACAGCTGTGTCTTTGATGAAGACACTGCAAAGTCCTTCAGCATAGTGGCTGCTGACATATACGTTTAGAGCCTCATAAAGGGCCCTTCTCCACATTTCACCTTTTTTATCCTCTTGGGCATGAGCCTGGAAGTCACTTGCTTGCTTTCTCAGATGGTCAAATTTGAAGGAGACTTGTTTCTGGGGGTCAAGGAAGCGATTTTCCTGGAGCTCATTGTGGCGGGTCAGCAGCACCTCACACTCCTCCTCCCTGACGGGGGTGAAGTAGACCTTGTTGTGCAGGGCCCAGAGGCAAGCAGCTTCCCGCGACATCAGGCTATCGTCATCCACCAGCAAGCGGAGGTCATTGAAAACCTCGTTGAACTCTTCAGGTGGAGCTTGCTTCAAGAGATTTCGCATCACCTGCAGCTTCTCTTCTCTGGTCAGGAGATGGCTTTTGGGCATTCGCTGCATCGGGGCAAGGCTGGAGGATCCCAGGTGCCCCACACCTGAAAGGAAGGCAAAGCAAAAGGGAATGACAACTGCTTTCTTTCCAAGCAACAGAGGCCTCCAAACTTTGCTTAATGGAGGACTCCATAGGCAACTTACTACACACACCAGTGATGGAGCAGATTGCTTTTATGTCAAACACAAAGCTACTGTCTATGGGATACCACCCCCATCCTGCAGATCTTTTATCTACAGCAACCAGCCAACAGTGCTTCCATAATCCCACTGAAATCATAGATGTCTCTGTCTTCTTATGAACCCACCCTTCCTCCATCCTCTAACCATGGCTAATCCTGAGATGTGGCTTAGCAGTTATGGGGGTATTCTGAAGGTCACCCACAGTGTGGGACTATCTGAATAGTGCATTAACTGTATTAGCATCTGTTTCTTGTTAGCATATGTCATTCACAGACCAGTAGTTACTGATAAGCTGTGGACAGAAGCGACCCATCTCTTTGGGGAGTCCTAAAATTTTAATCTAACTGGATATGATCCCTGAACAGGGTGAACTTTGTTTCATAATAGTAATTATGATATTGAGGGATTCTGCCAAGAAACTGCTTTCCCAACACCTAACCCCTGCTCATCTCCATCAGTGGTTTTGAGGGCTATTTCAGTCCCCAACCCAGTGGGCAACCCATGAACTTACCAAACACAATGGCTTTTGGGGATGCCATCTTGTGCTAAGTGCACTAGCTTGCTCCCAGGAAAACTCTTTCCACACTGATGTTGCCAGGCCTGCATCAAAGGTGCAATCTCAGCCTGATAACTTGACAGCATTGTGGCTTCAGCCACTGTCTACAGGAGATGACTATTGACAAATGGACCTTTTTGCTTATTCACAGCCAGCATCTGTTTTGAAGCTTTCAGGAGGACAGGTGATGCACCAGCCTGAGATGCATCACAGCCAGCATTGCC